TGGAGGTACCGATGCCAATCTCTCTCTCTTTTGTTTCGCAATCTTTTCTCTAAACCAAATTTTTTCGGCCGCAGATCAAGCTAAACCTGGCAAATCACATTGATGATGAAACGTCTTTTAAAGATATCACGAATAATCGAATAGATAATGCAAAGGAAGTAATTATACAGTATGACATACCTGGGGAAGTATATAACTCCAGCCTCATGGAAATGTGGCTTTGCCATTCAGTTGGTTTTACCCGTAAGAATCGCGCTGTGATTGGTGGATCCAATAGATGATAGACAACGGTATCTCGGTCGATATTGCCCTCAAAAACCTTACGTGTCAACACAGTTTCATAGGAAAAAAAAAACATGATCTCAAAAGAAATATACTTAACAATGAGCTTATTAATGGACTCATTACTCAACTGATAACTCACTGCATTGTTTGAAAGCAAGGACAAAGAGAGGTTTGAGTTAAGACGAAGAGTAAAGACCAGGATATGACAAAAGATGCCCTCTGAAGCTTATTGCGATAATTGCAACGACCTTAGGTCTTCTCTACATCTTTTTCAGTCCGTGGGAACCTTAAGCCATCCTGTCAGCTTTGCCGTGCTGATGAGGCTTAATACGAGTGAAACAGCTGTCCTCAATCATCGGCATGGTGGCTAACTTGGTGGGCTAATTATTGCATCAATTCCTTTTTGGTAGAGCACACCTGGCGTTCCAGCCTTTGACGATGACATTTTAATGCGTTTTCTGCGGCTTTAACATGTCCATTTTTTAATTTCTTTACAATCATTTTGTCACCAAAGCCGCATCCCACAGGTGTGCAATATTTGAAACCTTAGGCAGTTTACTTCTGTTAGAGTTTTCACGGTAGTCTTGTTAGCGTGGGGTAACACCGCTTAGTCGATGTCTCAAGGCGAATGGGCTGCTTCGAGAAACACCAAGTTAGCTATCTGTCTCGTCCCAACCTCTTCTCCTCACGCCTCTTTCTCTCTCTCTTTGCTCCACAGCAAGGGATTGCCAAAATTCTGAACCCGTGTCTCCTGAACCCTTGAATCAGTGGGTGCTTCCCATAACTGCGCTAAAACTTGTTTGTCAATATGAAAACTTACCACGTCAGAGGAATCTCCTTGTCTCTGATAAAACAGAAATGATACTCCATCATTGCTGAATTGTAGCTTATATTTCTTCACCCACTGTGATATCGAATAACTATTTCTCCCTTGTGTTGCAATGTAGGTCACACTGGTGATTTTACGAAGGTCAACCTGTAGCCATTGGTTCAAATCATTCGTCAAAGATGACCAGGCACCAATCCCTTTCGAAAGTCCAAGGTCCTTTGTATGGAGGCGTGCCCGCGCAGGGCTGTGGTAAACATTCCAAATCGAAGAAGCGGTAAGTTGTGAATCAGTGATGGTACCACTTTCCATGCCAAGAGCTCGCATGTTTTCTGGAGGGTTAAGAAGGTAACACGTAAGTAAGCTGATTGGGAATTGTGGTTACTTTTCTTTGCTTTTCATTTCTTTTTTCTTTCAGGGAAATAGAGAAACCGCATGGTGGCCATTTTGGGAATTAGAAATCAGGCGCAGGAAGCTTTTTGCTACACACATTGGCAAGAATGCAGCAAAGCGCTGGAAAGCAGAAATTACACAGCACAGAAATCTGGTGACCCACTGCTAGACACAGCATGTGACCGTGATTCTTGAAGCAGACCTCAGCCTATTTCCGGCGCCTTTCGACAGAGATACACACACTGGTTAGTCTCGACAAGCTATCGCCCTTTCGTTCCCCTTTAGTGACATGGCCGCCAACTCTATATTCGGCCTACCCGCGAACAGCCCATTTCAGTACTAGCTTGCAATTGAAAATGCGTCTATAAATTGCAAATGAACACAGAAAGCTGGCCTACCCAAACAGCCGTACAATTCAATCCTCTTGGAGATGTGGTTGTGCCATTCTGTGGGTATCAACCGGAGATATCGAGCTTTGATGGGTGAGATAACAGGGTTTTTCACAACTGTATCTCGGTCACTGTTTCCAACAAAAACCTAATGATAGGAAATACAATGGTGAAGAATTCTGAAAAGAGTTTCTATTCTATTCTATCTTAAAGTTATTTTGTGTTTCGAATATGCCTGTTAGCTTTGATAAAGAAATAACTCAATCATAAATATTACTAGGAAAAAAAACGGTTTAACTTTTGATTGAAAAACTCGAACTGTAAAGCCATGGCGAACATCACGAGCCCACAAAACACTTTGATCCCGTCCAAGGAAAAGGTGCACGTCTTGTCTGTTCACTAGTCTCCGCATTGATTTCGCTAAATGATCGGAGGGATTTGGTCCCCCATCCTGTTCCCTCCAGGAGAGGTTACCATAAAAGCTAGGCTTAGCCACAAGTTGCTCGTTAACTTTCGGCAACTTTTGAGATTTTGAGCAACTTTTTAGAATTTTGGCAACTTTTAGAATTTTCGGCATCTTTAGGCTTTTTGAGGTTCTTTGAGGCCACTTTCTTCACGTTTTGAGCCACCTTGGTCAGTTTTCGATAGACATTTATTCAATTTATTCTAAAATACAATAATTAGCCCCCCCATTGGTTGATTTTTGGGATGCCTTATCACGAGGTCAACGGTATCACGTTGCACGTTTTTCAAGATGGCGGACTATTACAGTGACTATTTGTTGATCAAGTGAAATGGAAAGAACCTCTGATATTATCATTGGAGTTTGACAAATAAAGTTTTGATAAGAAGCAGTGTGCGAATTTTTAATCTTGAACACCCAAAAAGGTACGAAAAGCAAAACAATTTTGGCAACTTTTCGGAAACTTTTTGGAAATTCAGCAACTTTTCGGCAACTTTTTGAAAAAAATAGCAACTTTTTGGCAACTTTTAGGCACTTTTATCGGCAACTTTTTTGGGATTCATCGGCAACTTGTGGCTAGGCCTAACAATAGCCCATTTCCGAATTATCCTTGGCCTCATTTTCAAAACGAGTCCTGGTGCTTATCCTTTCATATGATAATAAGTTTTCATTCACATGCAAATTAAACTCATTTTCACAAGAATGGTTGAGCACCAGGCCTCGTTTTGAAAANAACTTTTAGAATTTTCGCCAACTTTGAGCTTTTTGAGGTTCTTTGAAGCCACTTTCTTAAGGTTTTGAGCCACGTTGGTCAGTTTTCGATAGACATTTATTCAATTTATTCTAAAATACAATAATTAGCTCCTCCCCCATTGGTTGATTTTAGGAATGCCTTATCAGGAGGTTAGCGGTATCACGTTGCACGTTTTTCAAGATGGCGGACAATTACAATGACTATTTGTTGATCAAGTGAAATGGAAAGAACCTCTGATATTATCATTGGAGTTTGACAAAGAAAGTTTTGATAAGAAGCAATGTGCGAATTTTTAATCTATAACACCCAAAAACGGTACGAAAAGCCGAAAAATTTTGGCAAATTTTCGGCAACTTTTTGCAACTTTTAGGCACTTTTATCGGCAACTTTTTTGAGATTGATCGGAAACTTGTGGCTAGGCCGAACAATAGCCCATTTCCGAATTACCCTTGGCCTCATTTTCAAAACAAGTCCTGGTGCTCTTCCTTTCATATGATAATAAGTTTTCATTCACATGCAAATTAAACTCATTTTCACAAGAATGGTTGAGCACCAGGCCTCGTTTTGAAAATGAGGCCAAGGGTAATTCAATAATGAGCTAGTTGACTTCTAAAGCTAATTCCTTTTTGGCGCATTTCCCCTCTCGCTGACTGACTAATGCTATCCTCTAGAAATTGATTGAGATTGACCATATTGTCTATTGTTAGTTTACACCTCTAGTCAGATAAACGGCTTTTCCTTGGTCAAAACATGGCAGAATTGGTGAATCGTTCATGATTTTTTAGCAAATAAAACTCAGCCGAGACAAAGTACTTCCGTTCGTTTTATTTAGCTACGCCAACAAGAACATAAACAATGTCGCTCTTTTTCGCTCAAACGCTAGCGGTCTAACCTTGTCGGAGCTCTCCCCGTCTTGCTTAAACACCTGGAAGGTGCTTCCATTATTACTGTACTGCAGCTTATACTTGGTTACCCACTGTTCATACATATTTCGTCCTTGTGTTGCTAGAAATGTAACGGTTGTCTCAATTGTTAGATCAACTTGAAACCACTGATTCACGTTATTCCTGCCCGCGACCCAACTGCCAGCATGCGACCCGGAGATTTCTTTGAAGTGCAGTCTCCCTTGGTTTGGAGCATGATTCCCGTCATACTGGGACGAAGCCGAGATCTGCGCAGATGTAATTCGGTAGTCTTCCATTCCCAAAGGCGCTGAACAGACTAATAAGGAAAGTGAATAGAAATTACACGGTGAAAACACTTTGAATGCGTTTAATTTAGCATGAAAATGGCTTCGGGCACGATGCCTAATTCTCTCACAAAATTTAATTGCGTAGCGAAAAAATAACAGAACTAACATGTAATATTAGCACTAAAACGTAAACGAGCTGGTTTTTGTTAAACGAAATTACGCGAGCCTATATTCGCTGGGAATATCGCCCTTACTTCCTTGTTTGTATCAGGGCGAACCTTAGAAACAAAAGTTTCATTATTTACATTCTATGTGACTGTGTTTCTCAGGGTGGCCATTTGAAATATTTGAGCTGATTAAGGCCACTCTCGTTCTCGTTGCCAAAGGCCATGACCAGTTTTGTTTTTAACTGAAATTTTTTCGACCATCAAGGAAGGTTCTTACTCTCTGGTGTTTTGAAAGTAAGTTCCATTTACTCAGACAAGAAAACGGTGAACTCTTGTCCGTTTACATACGACATCAGATCCAACTGGACATAGGAAACGATTAGATTAGTTTCATAACAGTTTTTTTTTTATATTATAATTTATAATTTGACCTAAAAGTGCATGTGTGTTAACTTTTACAAGGCTAGTTTTTGCTGTTATTGCAGAATCTTTTACACTCTTCAAAGACTGAGAAAAATTCAAGGTCTTCATTGAATGTAGAAATTTGGTTAAAACATGTTTTGAACGTAAACAAGAGGGTGAATGCCACATTATCATGTTTCCTTTCTTGAAAGGTGTATTAAAATACTAATTTCTTTGTCTACTTTACAATATGGTTTATTGAAATCCTTTGATTTTTTTAAGTTAGCTCAATGGATAGAGCGCTAGACTTGTGCGGGAGGTCGAGGGCTCGAGCCCCGGCCGGACCAACACTCAAGGTCTTAAAATAATTGAGAAGAATTTGCTGCCTTTCTAATAACATCAAGAAAAGGTTAGATATTCCAGTCTTCTCGGATAGGGACGAATAAATGGAGGTCCCGTCTCCTGCAGGGTTAGGGGTTGGAGACGTTAATTTCCCACGTACTAGATTACTGTGTGATGGATGTCCTCCCCTGGGGTGCGATGGGTGGGTTAGTACACAGGGCGCCATTTAAACCAGTCTTAGCTGAATTGGACCTGCCTGTAAAACTTATAACTTTAACATAGCGTTTTCCTTTTACCGTTTTTAAAAAACAGGAATTAGAACTATTATCATTATTAATATTATGATTTTTTCCCTCGTTCTTTAAAGTTCAACTAGTAAACGAAACATGCACCATTTGGTTTTTTTAGATCTTTTGTTAGTGGACATTTTCATGTATTTTTCGATTTTTAAAGATTTTATCTTAATTTGTTTGTAAATATTTTTGATGATTAGAGTGAATAAAATTATTATTAAAAAATTTTTATTACTATTATTATTATAATTATTTTTCTATTATTACCATTATTATTATTTACCCATCTATCTATGTTTTTATGCTCACCTTTGCTGCAATAACGACCCCGATAGCCAGGGGTGCAAATACAACTATAAGTATTTTCTTTGTAATTGGGGATACAAGTTCTGTTATTTTTGCATGGATCATTCGAGCAGGGCGACTGCAATCGAAAGAAAAGCAAGGGTAAACTCAAAATCTTTCTAATTATGGATTGAAACAACAGATTAATTAAAATAAGGTTCAGCATGACCTGTATTTCCACCGGCGTTCCGGCTTCTTGAAGAAAGTCAAATTGTTTTCAAACTCAGGGATCAACCGACGAGGTCTGGCACGAAATTAAAGTTGAAAACAATAGTGCGTCGAATGTAAATCAGGATTTTCCTGAACAAATTGAATTAATTATTGAGAAAATAACGGAGCATGAAATAACATTCTAAAGAAGCAATTGCGAGCCAAAGGGGGATAAGGATAGCTAACGATCGAGAAAAAATAAAATAGGAATTTTTTTAGTCAAGTTTTTCGTAAGAAAACCCAAAAATGAGAGTAGTTTTTTTCAACTCATTTCGTTTTTTCCCTGCACCCGTACTGAGATAGGAAAAACGCTGCACGTTCGTGCAATCTTATACTTGAACGTATATGTTGTAGCTCAATTTTATCCTTGGTTCAAATTTTATTTTCCTTTGTTTGAATTTCATCATCATACATTAGCATGACCGAGAACAAAGGAAAATAAAATTTGAACCAAGTCTAAAATTGAACCACAACATATGTGTTATAACGTGGTCTAAATATAATTTCAAATATGATCTGAAATCTTAATTACCGTTTCAACTCAAACTCATCTGAAAGATTGAATTGGTCTGACGATGGTTTCCAAGCAACAAAACTAAATTGATTAATTTGACTCAAGCTATCTTCAAAGAAATTCATCATTGTGTTGCAATTCCAATATTAATTTTCTCATTTGAAAATCTGTCAAAGAAATTTTTTATCTCTTTAATATTTAGATAAGAAACAGATCCTGGGCCACCTTGAGTAAATACGCTGTTAACTCAGGTTTAGAATTTATTTTACTCGTATTTTTGCCTTATGCAACAAGTATAAAAAATACTAATAAAACGGACCAAACACAAATTTTTTAAAACTTGCGAGAGGTTGAGTTTCATAATATATACCTATTTTAAACCTTTACAAGATAAATTGTTTACCTCAATGCTGTAATGGTCAAACTGCTGCGAAGACGTCAAATTCTTTGGGCTTCTATACATGTCTCCACTTAAAAGTTCGCATAAAAATTTGCCATTCTGATTTGGAGACAACCCAATGTTCAACGAGTAACAGGTTTGTTGAGAAACACAAGAAAATGCGCATTCGTCGGCTTGAAGTACTTCATGGGAAAAGGCTCGTGAAGATAATTGCAGATAGTGAAACTTGTGAACCTTAAAATTTGCGTAGAACAGACCATTATCTGTTCGCTTTATAGCATGATTACCTTGGGTTATATCCTGATTTTGCTGTGTTGCAGGAAGATTTTGCACCAACATGACTATAAATAACAAATCAATGCGACGCATTTCACCCACATTTGTGAACTTCAACATTTTTGCAAGACACAGCATCTTCTGCTCGCTTTAAAACATAACTACCTTTGCTTAAATGTCGTTTTCTTGCTGTGTTAGACGTAGATTTTGTGCAAAATTGACCGAAAACTGCAAATAGATGCAACTGATTGTAGCCTTTGGTGATATATAAATTATTCACGCACATCAGCAGTTGAAAAGCAGGTGTGTCAGAGGCAAGACGTATAATTAATAACTTGGTGCCAACAATTGAAAGTAGTCATTAAAACTCCTGTGAACAGTTTTTCACCGCTAAAACAAGATGTTGTTCATTTTTTATGCTGTATATTCATCTCTCTTTGAAGGATCATGTTACATGAACGAAGCTTCGAAGCATGGTCGCTAAGGCATCTTTTTGTCGGTTTGTTTTGTTCATAGCAATATCATGGTAATGTCAAGCTGAGTCAATCAACGTCTGCGGGTGATTCAATAATCGCTTTTTTTAAGTGACGTCACAGATGAAAGAGACAAGCACGCTGAAATGTTGGTTTGTTGCTCGACTTTATTTTCCTCTGTAAAATTCATGGGAATTCTAATATTCAGGAAATCTTATGCTGCCAAGAAATATCATGTCGAATCTTAAAAGTCTAAAAATCCTCCTACGTGGAGGATTTTTCAATTAAGAGAAGATGATTTGATTGGTTTTGTGTTTGTTCGTCTTTTGATTGCTCTAGAAAACAGCCAATCGGATACCAAGCTTAAAACAATCGCCATTTGGTTACTCAAGGTATCTTGGATTTTTTTTCTGTTTGCCTAAAATTCGCAGGCCTGTTGGCCTCTGTGACAATTTTTCTTCAACAAGCGTTGTAAAAATATTGGTTTTTCCTTTTTCCCTCAATTAAATAGCGTTCTCTCTTGAATTTGACGCAGCGACCCGTAAAGTTGTTACAGAATAGCGTATCAGCATCAATTTTTAATTTATTTTGGATCTCTCCAGCCCATAAACGTCTTGACATCTTGAAATATCTATCATTGCGTATTCCCCCCCCCCCCTCCTCTTCTTTCTTTTCCACGGCCCAGTCAACAGAAAAAGAAAATCGGATCATGATTTTAACCTCGGTATTTCAAAACGATACAAATAAAAAAAGGAGAAAAAAAAAACGCGTGCTTGTGTCACTCGACTGTTGTGGTTAAAAGCTGCTATGAGTATTTTCCATTCTTTAATAAATCACGAACACGTCTCCCCCACTTCTTGTGTTACCGCAGCAGAACTACTAGGGACTTTAAGCAATCCACGACGGCTACGGCAGCGAGAACGTGGAAAAACAATAGATCTAATTGACAGAACAATAGCCCATCACTTGCGTTTTAAAACTTTGTATATTTCTTAGCCGTCCTCTGCAAAACAACAACGTGAAATCATCAAAATTTGCGTCGTCTGCGAAGCGAAACCGCGGCGGCGAATTATTTCAATTTACATTTGGAACTCAACGCTACTTTTATGCGTTAGGTTGAGTTTGAGGTCTGGCGCCTTATGAGAAGGTAAACACATGTAGCCATTTTCGAAATTCTAACTAAAAGTAGAAACTCGCTTTTTAATCGATGTCTTCAGTGGCGTTGCCGTCCTGACTGCTTTAGGTCCCTTAAAACGGATTGGACATTTATGTTGATATTATATGAAGTACTAAGTAAGAAACTTTGTGACTCGGATGAGAGCACATGGTTTTTTAGTCGTTAGGAATTCTGGCTTCGTAAAACTGGCAGAACTTTTGGAATGAATTATGGTAAAAAACACAAATGATGTTGAGTTGAAGTCTCGGCAACACCTTGGTTGTACTGGTCTGAAGTTGTTGCACATCTTCCTATCACTGTAACCAGTTGGAGACAGGAGCCGATTAAACGCAATAAGCTGAAATGAAAAAACAAAAACGAAAACGGTTCACAGCGTGTTGCTGTGGCCCGGTTTATAGTGTTGGGGTAAGAGATGTCCAAGTCAGGAGAAATGCAAAACTCCTCATTAAGACCTCTTCCGCATGGTAATTGATATCCCATATTACGCTATTGGGTTAAGTCAAGTTCTCTTCTGTTGAAACAATCCCTAATAAAGCTTGGCCCGGCTAGTCAATATTATTCTTTAATAAGTGGATAACATTGAAAGAGCGCTCTGTTTGGCTACTCAAATCCCGAATATTCTTTACCATACATCGAATCAGAGTATGGCGTCCAATTTGAATTGCCATTGTTCTGGACTGACTAGCCTCGTCCTCATGCTTAAACACTAAAGGATTGTCATATATGTGAGAGGCTATTGAGTCCAGAAGAATAGCAATTAAAACTGGACGCCATTTTTCGATTCGGTGTATTTACCACCAGATAATTCGCATGGGATCTGCCCCCGAAAATGTTGTAACCTTTGTGGGAAAAAATGGTTAAATCATGTTTTTATGCTAGATTATCTCATTTTTCCAGTAACTACTGAAATAACCATTCACTTCAGTGTCGGTGGCTAGCGGTGGATATCAGCCTCGTTTTTCAGTCGTGGTTCGGTAACTAACCACCCCTGACCCACCTCATGCATTTCTGTAAATAGCTGTTATTTATTACAGCGAAATTTAAACTTATTTTCTTCATTGTCTTTGAATCAACTCTATTTTTACTTTTTTATTGTTGAGTGTGCGCACTACAGCAGTTACAGTAATATTTCCCCTACTGACCTGGGTTGAATTGAATGGTGCAGTTTCTGTCAGCACAATCCATAGCACAGATTGGAAGCAGGGAGGGGTGGTAAGGGATCCTTGGTAAGTGTAGTATGGCGAGCCATTGTTTAAAGCGGGTACAAGATCCTTTAAAAATATTTCGTCTGCTTCTATCACTGGGACACTTTTCCCTGTAATGACAAGGTAGGTAGCAACAGGTAAATAAGTAAAAGAAACCCCATGAACTGTTTACACATTTTCTGATGATCGGCGTTTTTTTGCCCATTGCTCGAAGATTTTACAATGGTTTGGAAAAAAATCGTGTCATTATTAAGAATTTATCACTTAATGAAATAATTGTAAAAGACAAAGTAGGAGTGATATCTTTAGGAATTTGTAGCTATAGGAATTCAAGAACGTTTTACTCTTCTTTAAAAGCTTAAAATTTGAGAGTGCGATCATCTGACTTGCGTAATTATTAATCAATCCCTGGCGATTTCATTATATGGGGAATTTTATGAGATACCTTCAGCGACGATCATTTCAAATTTGATTCGCAGTCTTCCCAGAACTCCATTCGGCTTCGAACTAAGCTAAAATCAAAGTAACATACATTTACATATTGTAAGTAGAATGATGTGGTTTGTTTGATTCTTTGTGTTGTTAGTTACGTACCAAATCATATGATGCGGCTCTAACAGTTTGCGAGAAATTTTCGCTTGTGTGTCGATAGTAAATTGGCATAGCGTTTGTTTTGCTGGTTTAAGTTTTGTGATTGGTCCGTGAAAGAACTCACGCAATCTCCTTAGCCAATCAGAAACAATTACTGAGACCAATCACGACCTGGCCTTTTACGTTTTCCCGCTTTTCAGAACAATAACATTTACATATCTTACCCTTGAGTTCTGATTTGTTCCAAGTGATATTTCTCTTCATTCTGACTAGGTGCCATATATACCTAATGCTTCTGAAAAAATGCTGAAATAAAGCCTTCGTCTCTTTTTGATAGAGAAAAGGTTTCTTTACAATTAACAGGTCAATGCGTCACCAACAAACAAAACAAATACTTTCTAACTCATAAGCATGGAGACTAGGATCTCTTGGGTAAGCCAAAACTGTACCTTAAAAATGCACCAACAACGGTGAGTCCATCAGCCTTGTCCGCAACCCTTGCAAAATCTGTATAAATTGTGTTATAAAACACAAAATGTACCTGAAAATAATCATGTTAAAATCATATACGTTAATATATAGATTTTGCCAAACCTAAAAGCGGAGCTCCCAAGTTCGTAATATTAATGATATCATAAAAGACGTGCATTTGCCAAGACTTGTCTGAGACACACCTCCCTTCGTTTTGATAGTATTCCCTACCTACCCGTGCAATCTGAAGGCACGTACGTACGCACGTACGCTCGGTCAGTCACGTGACAACCAAACGAAAAGAGGTTGACCATATTTCATAGGTGTGGGGCTCTGCTCCACGCGCGCAAAGCGCGCTTGGGAGCCCTGCTATGATTCGTGGACAGATTGACAACAATCTCTGTTTTAGTGAGGTACAAAAATTACTATATGTCCATATGAACCACCGCTAATTCTTGATTGTTGATTTACAAGACTATTTGAACAAGTCAGGTCGGTACAAAGCTCTCCCTTTTTAAAATGGTGGATGGATTATGAGGAATATTTTGAGAAATACCAATAGTTTGGGGATAAACAGTGGAATTGGGAAAACTGTGGCTTAAATAGAGAAGTCGTTAATGAGAGGTTCCCGCTGCAGCGATGTGGCCATTTTCGAAGCAGAAAATTAAAATGAGAACAATAACATACATGGATGATATACATATTAAATATATCTTTAAAAACCCGGCTTTAATTTGTAAACTAACAAATAAACAGCAAACACACGATGAATACCTCAACAGGATACGAACTTCCAGACACTGTGTGTTCTGAGCCTTGGAATGATGAACATCCAAAGTGGAAGTGAAGTTGCTGTAGTTGGTACAAAGTATCCCGCACTGGACCCCCACTGAGGGTGGCAGATCCGAGGGATTTTTCAATTGCTAGGGTGGGGGAGTGACCATTATTGGTGAATAACCCTGCTACAAGACCACTCTCATTATCAAAATCGATCGTTAGATTTTCCTCCCATATGTTGCTAGCTTTTCAAAGAATAACGGTTGAGATCGATGGGGGACCGGGCTGTACCTGCGCACTGGGGAGCGATGGGGGACCGGGCTGTAGCTGGGCACTGGGGAGCGATGAGGGACCAGGCTGTACCTGCGCAGTGGGGAGCGACCTTGTACAAATCAGAAGGGCCTGGCACTGGGAAAGAAAGGAATGAAACAGCCTCTTTATATATTCAACTAATCCACGGAGCATATACTGGAAATTTATAAATCGTACTGCGCAAGTTCAAACTCATGAATTTTATGCATATTCCTTCCAAACATACTTACTGAGACTTGTGGACTTTCCATTCCCCCATTGGGGACCTGAAAGTACAAAACGACGATAGCTTAGCGTAACTGAACATACACAGATGTTGGTGATAAGGCAACATCACCTTTAATGAAAACGGAAAACTTCATAATTACCTTCTGGTGGACCAGCCAGTTCTGTACCAATGACCAACAGAAAGAGCAGTAAGAGGAACATGGCGCAACTCTGAAATAGACCACTTTAATTTTGAGTTTTATTCCAACACACAAGCAAGATTATCAAACCAAGTACAAAACTTTCCTTTACTTCTCTTCTTAATGCTAACTTTGAGAGGAAGTATGCACTAAATAAAGTAAGCTAAAACTAAAAAAAAGCACCCTAGATTCTCGACAAAACTGTTGAAAGTACTTGCTTAGTCGTTGTAGTAGCTTTAAACAAATTACAAATCTGAACAGCCGCATTCACCTTCTTAATTTTCCCTTTCCCGCTCTCCCTTTGCAATCGTGGGACACATACAAAGTACTACATTCACTAATGAAGCAACGTTGTAAGTGAGAAGGGTTAAGAGATCATAAAATAATCTCAGGGAGGGTGTTATTCACTTGAGCCGTTGTCTTCCCTGGGAAAACGGAGAGATAACCCAGATATTTCGACGAAGACGATAGGTCTGCGACGACGGGTGAATCAAGGGAGTTCAAAACATGAGTTTGAGATTGTCTTTTCTTATTTGTTCCAACATTATCGAAATTTACTTGGAGATGTGACAATAACTCTTCTTCAGTCTCGATCCTCAGTTTTAAGTGTGATTTTCGTGAATCGATTTATCCCCATTTTGTCATCTTTAGCTTATCTTGTGACCAATTGGAAATTTGTATCAACTTTCAAGCGTGACATCGAAAGCACTTGCCATACCCAAAGTATAAGTCATTGAAAGACTACGTACTGTAGTGGATATTTTAGAACTGGCCCCGTCTGATCTTTGTCAAGGTGGACAGGATATTGGATAACTCTGAGAACATATATATCTTTTTTTTACAAATCTGAGCAATATCTCTTTACCAGGAAATTGCGCTTTGCTTTCTTTGCGGGGGTTACACTGAAAATTTCTGATCTTGAGCACATCTTGGCAAAGATAGACTTGTTTCAGGTTGAAATATAAGCCTCCAGTGCTTTTATCACTGCAGTAATTTATTTTTCACCATTTCTGAGTGTCTCGGTCCTGAAAGTTTTGTGTCATATAATATTACATTTTGCAGTTTTTCTCCAAATTTATGTTATCGGAGCGAAAGAAGCTAGCTAAGATACGAAGGGCGAAGACAAGCTACGTTTTTAGGCGCATTGGGGGTTTAACCTACCTCTTGAAGAATAAAACCGCTGAAGATTTTTCTCGCGTTTCCCAGTTATTTCGGTAAAATAACATTCTCCTACCGAATGAACAGGTCAACACATATAAAAAAATAAATTTCATGGTACCGGATTGTAAACTGCTCTTTATTGGTGTTAATAGTTCCTTACATATTCCTGGCATTCGGAAGAGTGCACAAAACCCGCTGACTATGTTTGAAGCAGCCTATTATCTACCAGACTGAGCTGTAAATGTAAATTTGACCTGCCGATTGTCAAACGAAACTGATTGAAAGAAAGTCTCAACGGGTTTGACACGAGGAGGAATTTTGCCTTCTCGGTCGGTCTTATGCATTCAGACATGTTCTAGATATGGCACAGTTTGTGATCTGTTGAACATAACAGTGTTAAAACTTGGATTGACCAGAAGTCACCAGAATTGGAATAAACTAATTTTTTATCCTTTTTGTTACACAAAGGGCAGTCTACAAACCTAGATATTTCAGATGGTTGATAGCGGACCGATGAGGGATCAGCAGTCCAAAGCAGGAAGGATCAAAATGCACCACTCGTCTGTTGAAAAATCAACCAATCATAGTGGATATCTTCCTTCATATACTAACGCGCGATCAGCTGACCTTACCGCCTCTTACAAATTAATGGTGATCTGGCTTGCCGAATTCAGACTACATTGCGTCTAAGCTTTATGCATTTTATGGAGTCTTTAGATCCTTAATTGAAGCGCAAATGGATGCGTTTTAACCAGAAATGCTATTTAAAAGAGCATTTTGTCAATTTAAAAATAATAATAGTAAAAGCAGAGAGACTATTGGGCAGCGTCCAATCGATCATTCTAACAAGATTTCAGGTCTTAATGATAGGAAATTCTCTGATTTAATAATTTCTGTTCTGCGGTACAGCTTCCGATTGTGAAAATTCACATGGAACTAGAAATACCCAGTTGCGCTCAAATGGAGAACTCATGTATGCGAAGCACGCTTGGTCATCTCCAAAAAAGGTATGAAGCTGGGTAACATTAATCTAACTAGACCAATAAACTTCAGTCTGAAAACAAGTGGAAAAGAGTGACGATCACGATGTTGCTTTCATGTAAAAAATCAGTTTCTTGTGTCACGATAAGCTTGCAATCTGTCGTTAAAAATGATTGATTTAAAAGAGAGTTTTGAAATATGACACTTCTGTTAAGAGGATGTAACAGGATGTAACGGCGAAATAATTGAGTGACTGATTGAATTAAGGGTACTTATCGCCGAATCACCATGTCGTCATTACCGGCTTAAAGTGGTCATTAGGGTTAATCGCGGGAAACTGGATCGGAAATAGTGACAGTAAGCGCTGATACTATTTTCGTCTCCAGGAAAAAACCAAATTAAACCAAAACAACAGACTTGGGAAGTAATATCAAGTGGCATGTAACTATATCAACATTTCCTCCCAAATGTGTCACCAGAATGAGAGAATGTTCCAGAGCATAAAAAGGACGAGGTATGCCGCTGAACTCTGCATCTACAGGCTGCATTTTCAAGTCCCATCCCATGGAAAAACTCACAAAATGCTGCAAAGGGGGGGGGGGTGATGGGAGTAAATTACAATGAATTATAGGAGGTCAGGAGAAGATGTTGGTGTTCTAGTCGCTTCTAGTTCATACTTAGACAAGGCAGTGGGAGCCTTTAGGTTCGTATGAAAAACAATCTCTAAGCGTCCGCGCGGTGTTTCTTCAAGGTATGAGCCTGCAGCATAAATCAGCGGCCATTTAATTCTTTCGTTAAGGAATGCTTTATTAGGGCATGAATTGTACATTTTTCATCTATATCGATATGCAACAAAAGAACTCCATTGGTCATTTGTATCTTGTCGAAAGTAATTTTCCGGCTGAAAGCCCTTAATGGTCTTTTTCAAGTTTGGCTTCAATGCCTGGCTTCCTTAGCTTTAGACTTTTTTCCAGATGTCCTTTAGACTAGAGCCTTCCTACAGTTTATTAGGAGCATGGAGAATAATATATGCTGGCAGAGATCATTCTGGAAAGATTCCATGAAATAAAGTTAAGGTACACTTTTTTTAAAATCAGAGAGACGTCGTCATAAAATTGCTGGAACGATACCGGCGGAGCCATCATGAGGTTCACTAACAAATAATGCCGAGATTCTCTGCCTTTTAATGTATCATTTTTAGTCACCTCACTAGAGGAGCAATAATGTTATTGAAGATATATTGAGCTAAATTATCCCAGATTTAACTTGAAAAGAACATTCTCTACTTTATCTCGTTACACGAATGCGTTTACTAAGTAAAAAGTTATTTAAAGAATAAAATTCCTTTCGCGACGAGATATAACGCATTTTCGATAAGAAAACCCTGATGAATTGAAACTAAAAGGAGATAGATACTTCCTCGTCCAAAGGTTCGATAAAATTCGGGTATGGTCACCGAAATTCCAGCTTTTTCAGGAACTGTTAATTTTCCTACTTTGATTCACGTCCAGTAAAGAGAATAACACTGTTTGCCGCTCTGAAGTTATGTTAATATTACTGAGCGGTGTTTGCCGACGCATGTACTCTCCAGGCTGACTTTCGTGATCAAACAAACTTTGGTCTCGCTGCATTGAAAAGCATCTACCCATACTGATTGAGAATTTCACGTGCCTCTTTCAGTTCAAGTCTTAAAATGGAGGCTTAAGAGCCTAAATTGAGAATGGTGCTCTGTTGTTAAAGATAATGTCACGATATATCTATCAGCTTTCTTGGATGCTTCGTTGAGGATCATCTCCAGATTTAGAAAAGTATAGAAAGTAATAAAATTAGATAAATAGTTTAAAAGTGTTGGGCACTTTTTGAGAGCAACCGCTATACAAAGTTAACTCCCACACTTCGCAGAACGATACTGGAGGTTTCATTTGTGTACGGCGTTGATTCATACAGTCCCACTTGAGACTTAGTCAAAGCAATCTTTCAAAGATGAATCTTTCCCTCCAAATGTGTAGAAAACATTGAAACTGCTGCTGAAGAAAAATTCAAATGCGTGTTTGTAAATGATATGCCGCCGGTTTAGAGGACTGAAATAATGGTAAAAGATAAATTTTCAGAAATAGATGATATTGAATGTATCGTTATGCCTGGTAACGTGATGTTGTGATTATTTCTACTTAATGTTGCTTTTGGAGTCAACATCAACTATATTGTGAATTTTATTGTTGTTGCCGGATTTTACAGAAATAAATGTTAAATACAAAGGAATGTTATACTGTCTTTCCTAGAACTGTGAGTTATTTTTTGTTTTTCATGTGAAAAAGTATTTCCGTGGAGGTTTTTACTTGCTTGGAGGTCATGAGACAGTTGAAAAATGTGGCGTGCAATGCAGCTGGAAAGAAGAAATTAAGTTCCAGATCTAAAACTACTTTAAATCCAGCTTCAGTGCTTCAATTCAAACCAGTTAATAGCGATATACATTTTAAATGCGCTCTCTGCTTATTGCAGTTTTTCTTTTCATATTGTTACATAGAAGAAAACGGAAATAGCTTGATTTCATTTCTTGAAAAAAGGGAAAAAAATGTTTCTGAATGATGTGATCATGCTTAAACTGGACTAATTTAACTTCAAACTCATTTGTTGTAAGATTTTTCATGTAGTAGAAGGAACGTATACATGATACGTACAAGTTCCCCCTAAAGCTTTCAACTTTTTGTTTTTGATACGAGCGCTTTTCACCGAGCAAGTCATAAAAAAAATATGTTTATGCCAAAATGGCATTGTCTTGTTCATTCAGTGTCTCGATTAAATAGGGTTTTTGTCATATACATCGCAACAAACAAAACTAATTGCTTTTTGATTGTTGGTCACAATTCGTGAGTTTAT